GGCACACCCGGACCCGGACCCGGACCCCCCTTTTGGCGCCGGACTGACCTTTTACTGGCCGGCCCGAAATGGTCTGATCGGGCGGGAATGGGAACATATTAACATTTTAAAATGCATCAAATATTGCACGGAGCTTTTATAAAAAAAATCTAGGGCTATGCCCCACACATCCCATACGGCATCCTCGCAAATATTGTGGGTTTCCGTTCTCTGATATTTTTACTATATTTTCTTTATTAAAACGATATTTGTTGGCATCGCTACGCTCGTCTACTTTGTATCTTGACCCGAAAGTGTGTTTTTATTTTTATTTTACCACCTCCGCAAAACCCCAAGTTGCAACTTGCAACGTTCGGCGGAAATAGACTAGCATAAGTTGCGGCATAATTATTTTATTGACCGCTCGTTATAGATGATCAGAAAATTAATACTTTTTATTGTTACCTTCCTAACCGCCCGGGCGATATTAATCATATCATTATACAAGAGCGATACAGTTTTTTTCGGCTGACAATATTATGTATAAAACTGTTTAACTATCTTGTATGTACAACATAATATCTCATTGTGGTACTTATAGCTTACCATCGTGTATGTACAAGAACGTGTCTTCATACAGCATACTATTGTGAACGTAGTAATAAGTTGTACGTGCCAGAATGAGATGATATGCTGTACTTATTACAAGTGTGATAATTTTAAATTAAATTTAAAGGTGACGCGTATGTGCCTCCTAAGTTGTACCATTTTAACCAGATAGCTTAGCAAATGTACTACTGTTGGTAATATGCACGCCCTAACATGAGTTAATCAGCGTGGACATTTCAGATATATCATTGTCTACACTAGTGAATTAGTCAACAATTATAAAACGCGACACTATATAGCTAGTGGTCTTGGGTGTCGCACTGATTTGAACTTATGCGTTTGTTTAGCAATTTAGTGATGCCATGAGTAACTCATTAATTAAACAGCAACGATGTTATGGTGTTATTTGTTCTTTTGTACGACAAACTATTAAATGAAGTACTGTACTGTAGGTACAATGTCTGAAGACTAGATATTGTGCGTCCCTACATTTATTTTTTGACGTTGGAACTTTCGTATCCCCCTTGCGGGCGGGACGCCAAATTAGGTGATAATGAACAAGCCCCCTGTGGATTCATACATTTGCCATCACCAGGTTGCCCCTATAATAATACCATCTGACTTCTAAAACACGCTGTTGGTAGAGAATTTAAACCGAAACTTTAATTTTCTTTCCAGTACACAAAAAAAATCTTTGGGCCATACTTCAAAAATATGTTTTTTTCTTCTTGTTAATTAAACATAAAAACAATCCTCAGAACACGGGAAATCGCTTCTGAGACGTTTTAGAAAACACTTTTTGGGGGGGAAGATCCCCCAAACCCACCTTACGGGTGGGGGAAGACCCCCTCCCGTACCATCCCCCTCCTCGCGCTACTCGCTCGGGGTGCCGCCATCGGCAGCACACCATTTACTATTGGGGAAAAAAAATCTCCCCCCCCCCCCCCCCCCCCCTTTAGGAAATCCTGGATCCGCCCCTGTGAACTCTCACACTTTCAAAACTAAAAATATATGTGTCAAAAGTGTAACGGTTTTTATTTTAAACGCACAGGGTTGTGCTATTTTTGGTTCAAATGAATAGCAGTGATTTGAGTCAACTGCGTAATGTCTTTTTTAGGGGGGAGATGCAGAGGTAATGTTTTAGTTAATCAGTAACATATGCTAGGATCAAAGGTATTAAATGTGTTTAAATAAATGAAATTGAAATGCTTCAATGTCCCATAGGTCAAGTAATGAAATAAAAAAAGTTCTTTTCTATAAAACCACAGTTTTGTAACAAAGATTTTGTACGGTGTTTTTTTTTAAATGTTTACAAATCAAGTAGTCCGTGGTTTACGTCATGTGCACCTTTTTTTTTAATTCAAAAGGTCTACATACCCCACTTATAGAACGGAATAAGTCCGTGCCTTTAGTAATAAACTGCATCTGTAAAGACAGATTTATTTTTGAAAAAATGTAGAATGGCAGTAGCCTCACTGCAGAGGCGGATCCAAGGAGGGTTTCCAGCGCACGTGACACACCCTGTCCTTGACATGATTTTTTAGTGTGCATATATATAGCATCTATCGTGTGAATTAGGCATTCAAACTTATCGAATTAGTAAATACACACAATGTAAAAGAACTGAATTTGTTAGGTAAATTTATTATTGAAGCTAATTTGAAACGAAGGACAGTTTAACTTATAATTTTGTTTTACATAATTTTGTATAACTCAATCGTATCTTGTCTCTGTTTTGTTCGTACATTCTTACATGTTAAAGATTGTTAATACTTAATGTTGTTGTATTTGATGATGATGAAGATTTATAAGGCAATGATGATGATGATGATGATTATGATGTAGCCGTTGATGTTGAGTTTAAAAGATGATTTTCATGATGATGAGTATAAGACGACGATGACGGTCACGACGACGACGACGACGACGATGACGATGATGATGATGATGATGATGATGATGATGATGATGATGATGATGATGATGATGAAAGCGATGAATTATGATTTCGCTGATGTTGTTGTTGCTGCTTATTTGTGATGAATGTGCCAGTAATATGTAATTATATGTTGTTGTACAAATGCAAATCCTATAAGTTGTAAAACTTACAGAAATAAATTGAGTTGAATTGAACTATTTATCATTTCGTGACTGGTGAAGTCACACATCCTTCCACTCGGGTCGTCCCAGTTTCCTCACTTTTTAGAGAACAAAAAAAAGTGTTGATATAGGAAGACAATGGCAAACGAACTATAGTCTGTTTCATACTTACCCCACAGGTAACTTACTTTGTGAAAGTTACCTGTCTGACCTTTTTTAAAAAGCCAATAAAAAAACATAAAAAAATACCTATTTTAAAAAGTGGGGGAACTCCAACAGGTTAAAGTCGGTGTTCAAGTTCTTTATTACTTTATTTATAACATATATACAAAACAATACAGAGACAACATACAATATGACACACACACACACACGCACACACCGTGGAGAGTGAACACTAACCAGCAATCAGCTCAGATCTTCTTTTGTTTGCTTGTATTAAAACTTTGCCCAGATTTCTAATGTCAGATACATTCTCACAAGTAAGCAGTTGAATTAATTTATACATGCTTGTATGTCTTACATAATATTTCTTAATTAGTTTCAGCCTTATATCACTAATTGCTATCACCATCCAGGGACGTATAATATATACTGTCCCTGCACCATCCAGCTTCAATTAAATGGGTCAGTGAACCATGATAAATACTTTTTACCTATAATACTTTAAATCAGGAATCTAGAGAATTTTTTGGAGATTTTTATTATCACTCAGGCACACTATTGTGCGCAACAGGAGGTCATCATAAAGTACAATATAACAATGATATGGTTGACCGTAAAGCCCTCATCTTACTATGCAAGCGTACAATAATATAGTGGAAACTATTACACTCCTCATACAATGATAAACACACTATTACACTGTTCATACGTACTATCATACCTTATTATAATAGACAATATAACGCACTGCTCATACATCGACAATCATCATTCAGTGATATACAGTATTACACTCATTTTACAATACTATACTATTACGATGGTATAATACATAGCAATACATTCACCCATATCGTGCTTTCACACAGTGGTATAGCAGGCACTGTTGCATCAATTTTACAGTAAAATCCTACAGTATTACACATATATTACTCGCACTACATGATACATGTATTATAGATAGTATACCGTAATCATACCATAGCATAATAATGACTATCATACTCATCATACCATGTACTATTACAAAGGTGTAATAGACAGTGTTACAATATTGTAATAGACAGATACAAACAAACCATGATAAACAAGCTGTAACCACACTCATTATACAATACAATTATGTTAGGTTTAACAAAATGATCAGTTATATCTATATGTATGTGGGAGAAAGGATAACAAACCATAAATGTGGATATGTTTACTGTTTAACCCATACCCATTTCGGAATGTCGAAATCAACTGAGCAATCCAACGTGTACGCTCAAATACACTGTTCTCTTTATTTCCTCCAATCTGAAGATTACATATAAACAGAATAATGCGCACATATTTACATTACAAAAAAAAAATCATATTGAATACACATAAGCACCAAATAACATAATGACATATACAGACTTAATTACATTGAAGTCATACATTCAATAAATATCATTAATAAGTGTATATATATGATGAGGTAATACATACATATCATATTAAACTTTCATTTTAATTTTTATATTTATTTTATTTATATTAATCTTTATCAGGATGTGAGATTATATCTACACACTACCGGAAGTATAACTTGTGCATCTTTTCGACAGCTGCTACGGATTTCA